CTGGACAGCCGAGGAGGACCAGGGCAGGCAGGGGCTCCTCCTTCGCGGCCGTGAGCTTTCAAAGCTTTCTATGAAGTGCAAAACCTCGTACGTGTATAAAACAAGGCAGATGTGACGCGGGAGGCAGATTCATAAGGAAAACAGGAAGTGGGAGTCATAAACACTTTCTACACAGACTCGGAGGCAGGGCCCTTGATATTTAATCCCCCTGTGTGCTCAGCCTGGGTATTTGGGGGGATTACACAGAAGTGATCTCGCAGGTCGAGACCTGCGCCTTTGTTATGTAATGGGCTTTGGAGCGGAACGACATGTCGACCCCTCCGTGTGGACATGACGGGATTATCTTCAAGAGCTGGGGGGGGGGGGAGGTCATGTGGTGGTGGCCTCGTTTTTGTTTTCTCCCCCCCTCCCCCCTCGATGCATGCATTAACACCGGGGCTGTGCCACGCTGCTCTGGCCCCGGATCTGAACGACAAGCCCGCACCAGGAAGGGGAAGTTGACGGCGGCGGACGCTGCCGGATGTTGTTTTCATTTCTCGCCGGTTTCAGATCCCTTTAACTGCACTCCGCCCTTATTACCTCCCCCGCTCCCCCTTCCCCTCCTCCGTTTCCATGACAAGTGACTATTTCAGCACAAAAAAGGAACATTTTGGGGAAGCAATTCAGGGTTGCACCACATCCCTTGATAAAGCAATGTTGCGCACCAACGATATATGTCCCCCAGGCATTTCCTGTCACGCCGAACTGAACTATTTTGCCACAGCTTTTTTTTTTTTTTTGACACTGTACAAACTAACATGCTGCATGTTTTCCCCCCAGCAGCAGGGCTCTTGGTGAGGGCCGCTACAATCTTCAGTCGATGCTACCTGACATGCTCAAGCCGTCAGATGCCTCTGACGTGAGCCCGGCTTCAAAGCTACAGACACGGGCCCCCGACTCCCAAGGAAAAAATTCAAAATCAGAAGAGACAACGAAGCAAAACAGTGCAGCTGAGCAACAGAGCTTCTCCTTCAAACTCCTCAGACTGAAACCCTCTGTTTGGGGAAAAAAAAAAAGCCCACAAAAATAGCAAATCAGCCCAGGACGAGACGACCCCAGATTGCTTCAAAGGACAGCAAGTTGCCCAGGAGGCGTGCTGTGTGATCGCCACATCAGCTCATCGCGTGGCTGAAAAAGCAAAAGGCATGAAAGGGGGCTTTTCATGGGCTCTGGAATGCAGGGCCTGCCCTGTCAGCTCCAGCTGTAAGGGGTACAGAAACAGAGCCCAGCCGGCACAGGGAAACCACACTCGACTGGGAGTTTCCCCTGTCGGGATGGGAAATGGGAAACGCACATGGTTTAGAGGGTGAGGTACAGTACCTTGGCTCTTCCACTGTGCTGCTCCATCCCATTCCTCTGCCATTCAGCTCACCTACAGTTTTCCTGTATTCTATTCCATTGTCCGGCCCCATTGTCCTGCTCCAGTTCTGCTGCCCCAGAATTCCAATATATAAAAATCCCGCAGACGCAAAATACAGAAAACAGACAGTGCGGCTTAGCTTTATGCAGGGCCTGATGCAGGTGCTGGTGCACACAGACAAACAGGGGGCACCACTCCTTTTTATACTCCAGGTTTAGGCTCAATGCTGCAAATGAGTGAAAATATCTCTGCAGCTCTTTTTCCACTGGGGCCACAAATCTTCATTCGATTCTTTATTTGGCCCAGAGTCCTAGAACTGGCGTGCTGATCCACTGACTGCAGAGCCCAGCTCACACTGCACTGCCTGCAAGTAAGACTAGCATGC